TTCAGAGTACGGTATTGGAATTTCCATCTGATATATCACGTTTTTGATATATTAGATGTCTGGTACATGTCAAGTAAAAGCGCAAGATTATCACTTTTTCCAGTACGAAGATCAAAATTTTACTCGAAAGTACAAACGTCGATTCACGCATTGCAGTGATTTCCCACAGATACTTTGTTTACGTCATTTATTCAGATGTCATACTGGCAAGATATAAGTCGTCGTCTTTCACTATATAAATATAATTATATATAAACAACGTGTCATAAGATCGTAAAGTGAACACAATGGCCGGTATTCATAATCGTTTTTATTTTAAGATCATCTTAAGTAATGTCTTAAGATGTGCTAATGAGACTTTACTTGATTCATGATATACTGAAAACAATCTTAAATATAAGAATCGACTATAAACCCTAGCCAATAAGTAACGAAAAAGTCTTATCGATTTGAACTGGATTTTAAAGGTACAGTTTCACGTGCTACTAAAATAATTAGAGCAACGGATCTGTCGCTCTTATTATTCCAGCAGCTAAGATGATAGTGCTATCGCCGTGTCGATCATATTGATCAGCGTTGATGATATATATAACTTAATTTATTCTTTGTTGTTGATCCAGGTAACAGAGCGTCAAATCTGTCGCTCAAATTCGGCGATTCTTGCCTTTTTTTATTTTATGTATAAAGTTCTGCGACAAAAGTCAATACGTGATATTTTTTGTCGCTGAAACGACCAGTTTGAGCGGCTCGTAAAAATATACCTTAATTAAATAATATTTCGGTGTGAATTTATATACATATCCAGTTCTAGTTTTATAGTTCTATATGTTTTGCCAGTATGTGAATCATTATTATCGTACTATATGTTAATCTCTGCTAACTTTCTCATTACATTACACGTACATATTTCGGGATATTTATGCAAATATTTTATAAAGAAAACACAGATTTGAGACGTTCTGTGTTCCAATGACAAGATCGCTGGAAGTACAGTGCTACAAGCATGAGAAAAAGGAGGAATAGAAACGAAGTAAGTTCGTCTTTACGAAGTATTGAAAATTAATGTGATATACAGTGTCATTTATAGTGATTATCTAATTAGTAAAACAATATCGGTAAAAGCGTGTATATCTGTATATTTACAAAATGTGTTAAAAACGAGCAAAAAGATATAAAAGAAAAAGAGCTACGAAAGAGTATTAAGGATTTCGTATAAAACGTAAAATTATTATTAAAGGAAAAAAAAGAAGGATTATAAAGATAAGTTGGCCGATACAAATAAGAGGTGAACTTGCTAAAATCTGTGTTTGCTAAATTTGATAAAAAAAAAATGTTTTTTGGAATTTTGTCAGGATTGGCAAAAGATAGTGTTTTTTTTTTTTTTTTTTTTTTTTAAAAAAAAAATTTTTTTTTTTTTTTTTTTTTTTTTTTTTAAGAACAAAATATTGTAATTTTTTTAAACATGTTTTTAATACTTCATACATGCTTTAAACAGTTTATAAAAAATACACGTTCAAAACATGTGAAAAACATTATTTTTATCAACCCTGAATTTTATTATATCTTGAAATCTTTTCTTTATAGTATGTTTGCATTGAGAAAATGGAGCAATTGATAAAATGTAACATGGATTTGTGTTGCACTTTGAATGAATTTCTGACTTGTACATACGTATGTATATGTCAGATAAGTAATAATCAATAACGAGAGAAGTACGAATTGTAGAATAAATTCATTCAATATTTCAAAATGCACTAATGGGTAACGTAGAATGTTGGAAACAAATTTCGCTATGCAATATAGAAGATACGTAATTTTTTTGTATGTAAATATCAAAAATAAGACATTGTATCTTCTGTCTTTCAAAAATCGTGTTCGAATCACTTTTTATTCGTACTAAATTATTTCGTATATTAGGTTCTCTTGCAGTAATGATAGAATGCTTTTTATTGATATCGGTTAGCTCTACGTGATTTATATCACTACCTGATTTATATCGTGATAAGATAGTTCTAAACATGTCAAGGGAAAGGTATGAAGAAATATTCTAAGTCCGATCTGTCTGCCTCTCAAACCTTAATTGATCGCGTAATATAACAAAGTATAGACTGCGTGCGTTCTACGTTTGCAATTATCCTAGTGGAAAAAAATTTTTACGAAAAAATACAGAAAAACTACCCTTATTGAGACAAGATCAGTAATTCTTAGTTTTTCGTAAAAATTTTTCTGCCAGGACAATTAAGAATTAAAAGCGATTATTATATCGAAATGTGAGAAGTGAGTATCGTATAAAATTCAGAAGTAAACGAAAGCATGTGAACGATGCGTCATAATACGAGCAAATATGATTACAATTTTATTTACCATGAGCTTGAATTTTTTAGACAATTTATATTTCTCATCTATTTACGCTGCACACCAAAAACATTAAACGATAAGTTGTTATTCGCAGTTCACGGTAGCTCACGATTTGCACATTCGGGAACCGGTTTGCATTCATTGCATTTGTAATAACTGATGGAAAAGAAAAAAAAAGAAACAATTGATAGTTCAAATAAATTTGTAAATCTTAGCCAGTTTACGCTAGTCATAAGTCGTACCGTACTTTCATTTTATGATCTGTGAAAATACATTCTCTTCTTGCATTGTAGCATCAATACATCATGCAAATCTTATTCCACGAAGCTTTTTTTATTTTCTAACAAAACCACATCACGCACTATCGATAAAAATCATTTAAAGTATCGTGTATATTGTTATACATATATATTATGTATATTACATCCAAATAATTTTGTCAAGAGTACAAAAAAAATTTTTACTTGTCAATATTGTACATTATATATACTTTAACAATCGTTAATATATTATTTTTAATTAGCAAGTATGATAATACATTTCAAAAATTTTATTTAATGTGGAACACGTTAAAAATAGAATGTACATATTTGCATTTTATATTGATCATAAAAATCGAATTTGTAATGCACAAAGTTTACTTGTAATAAAATTATAGAAATATGGAGATAAAATATAATCTACCGTAATCTTTTCTTTACAAACAAATGCAATTTATTTCATGCCATGATTGGAGTATACATATACGACAATGTACACGAGCAATCCTTAACTTTATTAACTCGTCAATATATAATATTACACAAATCACAGACATCTAAATTATAAGATGCAAAAAAAAATAAACAAACTTGCTGTATAAATTAGATATATTTTTTGTTAGAAAAAAAAGAACAGATGTAAATCTTTGTCACAGTAATGTGTCTTCCGAACGAATGTACTCTCCAATATCTGCTTGGTGAAAGCAAATTACTGCTACAGGATCTGCATGTTTGCAATCAGCTGTACTTTTTGCAGCAACGCCAAATCCCTGAGGCATTAAATAGAAAACATAAATGCACTTGTTATTGTCTCATTTATCTCTTTTTATATAATAATGTATAAATGAAAAAGATAATCAACGATGTGTTAAGAATTATATTTAATTCGATAAAACATACCAGTGGCAAATTGTTCATGGAAAATACGACGACACCTTGATATTGATTAGTGCCTTCTGTTATACGACCGAGGCCTGATTTCATAATATGATTTCCGTAGAGAAACTGTTGCTCCGCCGAAGGTTTTACCCAAATTTTGTGCTTGATAAAGAATTTTATAATGTAAATTTGCAATTACACTTATTTAAATCTAAATATATTTATAAATACGTATACTCACTTGTGCGTAAGGTGCTAGATAATGTAACGCAGTGATATGTAGCCTAAACTTTCCTGATTTTGTGAATTTGCCAAAACAAGTGCCTAAACTTAACAGATTATCAGATTCTACGTTATTCGCTAACGATAAAATTTTCTCCGACACATAATACACCCTGTCCTTTTTCTCCCGAAAGCAATAAACACCATCTGGTCGATCAATCAAGTTCTTCACATTAGCGCCAATGCTACAATTAAATTTGAGATTATTATTAATAGCCGGTATATTTAGAACCTACATTCAATAAGACAATTATGGAATAAGCATAATTTAAATTGTAAAGTTACTTACTACTTAGTTAGCTTCTCGAATACGAGCTTTGTTTTCTCCTCTGATAAACGCTTCATCTTTATTAGGATATACAGGAGAACATGAAATCAATCATTTATTTATTTTCTTTAAAAGCTCCACGTGATATCTCTTCATTCGCGTTTCACATCTCAAACACGTTGGAAACCTGGAGCCACGCTCACACCACATAACTATTTGTAATCATTCAATCGATTTGGACAAAAATTCAGCCTATCAACGTTCTCATTCATGCTGGATTCACATTGCATCCGATGTGCGTCGTACGACCCTCTGCAACCAATCAGAAAACAGGATTTTGCTTCGTATCATCGATACGGAATAAAATTCTGCTTTCTGATTGGTTGCATAACGTCGTACGACGCAAATCAGATGCAGTGTGAATCTAGCAATAGCCCAAACTGAAAATGGGGGTGATCCCGATTGACTCGATTGGACACCACCAATCACAGCGACCGGTGCTACTAAGCTGTGTAGTCTCAAGCGCTGTGAGTGGCTCGTGTCCAATTGAGCCGTGTCCAACTGGGTGCCACCCCTGAAGATGGATGTACTAGCGGTAGTGTACGGATGATTTCGACGGTAACAGGAAGAAAACCGGCATAGCCAGCTCTCTCAGGTTTCTCTCTGTTACGATTATGACTGTTGGAATTATTTGTATAATTACAAGAATCTAAAAATATATAATTTATAATTTGTATTTACAATACGATATTTACAATTATTGCACCAGAAAACTTTTTTTTACAATAAATTCTATGCCCAAATTCATAAAAAATCGTATAATTTACGATTATTCCGGTAAAGGGCTATTTTTATCAAATTGCGTTCTAAAACTCATGGAAAAAATTCCATACTTCACGATTATTTCGACAGAGGCCCTCCCTTTTTTCTGAAATATGCGTTCCCAAACTCAATATTTTCACCGAATTGGTCTCGTGTTTACATCCGGAGGACGGCGGAGGACGGTGGAGGACTCACCGTGAATAAGCTCGCCCCTCCCGTCCCGCCACTTTGTAGTCGTTGTACATCCTCGCCCATTCCTTGAGTTTCGCGAGGGCCGAGGACACGTGTGGATCTTTCCCGGCATTTTCCCGTCGACAGTGAAAGAGCGAAGCGAACGCGCGTCCCCGTATTTATCTATAGGGTTCAAGTCGTCCAGCGCGAACGATGAAGGTGACGGTGACGACACTCAGCGACGATAGCGTCTTCGTCCTTGACGTGAGCGAGGAGCTGGAGCTAGAGAACTTCAAGGCGTTCTGCGAGATTGAGAGCGGCGTGCCAGCCCATGAGATTGTGATCGCGTTCAACGGCCTGCCACTTATGGACGACAAGAAGTCGTTGCGCGATCATGGGATCCGCGACGGCGACGCTGTCATCCTCCAGCACATGCATCAAAGCGGCAGCGATTTGAACTTGCAGCCCTTCAACAGAGGTGGGTACCTACGAATGGTTCATTATCGATTTTTGGATTTAACGGGGGTTCTACAATAAGTCTGTAGTCGATAATCGAAAGTCTTAAACAGTCTTCACCTTAGTCGTACAAGTTGGCTATTGGCCAACTTCACCAATTAAGTCTAGGTCAGCAACCTTATTTTAAGAGGCCTTAAACTGTAAAGCCGTAAAGGCCATGGTACACAAAAAACTTAAGGCAATAAGATGTAAGCAGTAAGGAAATCAACATGTTGGATTGGCTACCGCTTACGTTATGGCCTTACAGATTCTACCGTGATTGGTCAATTCGCTTACTGCTTACGTTTTACTGTTTAAGTTTTCTTATGTGCCATGGCCCTAAGAAATTGACCAATCATAGTCAATTATTTTTCTCATTCAACTGTGATTGGTCAATTTCTTAAGGTATGGCCTTACAGATTCTACCGTGATTGGTCAATTCGCTTACTGCTTACGTTTTACTGTTTAAGTTTTCTTATGTGCCATGGCCCTAAGAAATTGACCAATCATAGTCAATTATTTTTCTCATATTCAACTGTGATTGGTCAATTTCTTAAGGCTTTATGGCTTACGACCTTTTAAAGCAGGGTTGTGGACCTAGACTAAGACTGGTATTCATAGTCTTACATTCAAGATTGTCTTAAGTACAGTCTTAAGATATTATGAACCAATCGGAGGGCTGTATTAGCATTTTAAGACATTAATTAAGATGGTCTTAAAATAAGAATCGGCTACGAATACCAGCCTAAGACTTAGGACCACTTAGGACTTCCGACTACTGACTCATTGTGTATATAGAACCCTGGTAAGACTATCGTAAGCACTATCTAGTCTTACGATGTTAACCAATTAGAGATCAGTATTCATAGTTGATTTTTATATTTAAGACTATCTTAAGTATAGTTCTTAAGATATAATGAACCAATCAAGAGAGTTGCATTAGTATTTTAAAAGATTAACTTAAGAGTCTTAAAATAAGAGCGAATTATGAATACCAGTCAAAGAGCTGTATTAGTGTCTTAAGGTAATTTTAAAATAAGAATGAACTATAAATGCTGCTTTATGTGTTGATTTAAGCAAAAATTTTATTTCATGTACAGCTCAAAGAATGTTTGCTATTAGATCTGTTTTTTTCTTCCAGTTGAACTTTGTTATACAATTTATCTTTGTTTTTCTTTTCTTAATAGGGGAAAAGAAAAAATGATATAAGAAGTGTTTAGCTTAAAACAAACCAACCTATTATTGATTTTTATGCACTGAGTCCGATTGTAACAGTACTTTTTATCATTTATCTTGTTGATAGAGAATGTAGATACGCTTTAAAACCTTGGCCTTTGCTTTCTGTTTAATTATACATATTTATCAATTTCAATGTTTAATATATATATATATATATATGTATATAATGCCAAATTTAATAAAACGTCATTGACAAATTTAATTTATTATCTCCTTTGTGTTGTACTCAGCAACATATATCTTATTTAAAAAATGAACATACTAAATTTGAAGAAACATCGCTCTAGCCATTCCATTACTGGACTTCAGTTCCATCAGAGTTCCTGGGACCAGCAATAATCAGCGTCCATCGCCAATCGCAAACAACAGAGTACAAAATCCCCGCAGCGAGGATGACCCAGCTATGATAAAAAATATGTTCCTGGCTAATCCAGATCAGTTGGCATTGTTAAAACAAAATAATCCCAGATTAGCCGACGCACTACTGTCAGGAAATCTTGGTAAGTAACAGTTTCGAATATGAGACAGCTTAATAATTTTTTATATTATTTCTGGTCTAAATATTCGTGTGTTATAGATAGATTTTCAACTGTACTCAAAGAGCAGATAGCCGCTCGAGAAGAACGACAAGCACAACGGCTGAGAATGATGAATGCCGATCCCTTTGACACCGAAGCACAGCGTCTAATTGCCGAAGAGATTAGACAGAAAAATATCGAAGCAAATATGGAAGCTGCAATGGAGTACAATCCAGAGACCTTCGGCACTGTCGTTATGTTGTATATCAATTGTAAAGTCAACGGATTTCCAGTTAAAGCCTTTATTGACTCAGGTACATCACCGACCCAAGTGCTTTTTCAGTAGCAAGTAAAAATGCGATTTTCTACGTGCATTTTACAAATATATAAATTTGTGATCAGATCAGAGGTTGAGATTGAGATTAGACTGGAATTTACCAATTACAAAGCAAAGTTTACTAAACTTGAGATTGATTTTCTTTCTTCTGATAAGTTAAGTTTTAATCTAATCAATCTCTAGCTTGATCACTCTTAAAATTGTCTTTAATCTTTTCTTCAGTCTAGCTTGAATCGTACTTGAGATTATTTTTACATATCTTTGTTCTATACTCGAGAGAAAGAAAGGAACACTGAGTAAATGTCTATTTTTAAACATATATATCTCGAATGATCGTTCTGCATGGTATGCAGAAAAACAATTTAATTTTAGAACGTATGACCTCTGTTAGTGAAAACAGGAAAAAAGACCGTTGTTCTTAATATAAATATATCGCAATATATTTCGATCATCTCTGGAAACATTTGTACAATGAAAATATCGGAAAAAAAGTGCAAAATTGACTCTAATGTTCATTTTTATCAATGCATATTAACTTTAATCTCGGTTCTACTTACTCTTCAACTTTTTCTAATTCTTAGAACTAAAAAAAAGATGATGGGTAAGTTGAATCAGAATTAAAGTGAATCTGCATTGATGGGAACAGGGATAAGTAATATTAAAGATATATTATTTGTAACCCAGGTGCACAAACTACTATTATGTCTGCTGCCTGTGCCGAGAGATGTCATATTATGCGTTTGGTGGACACAAGGTGGGCTGGAGTCGCCAAGGGTGTTGGAGTACAACGCATAATAGGTCGTATACACATGGTACAAATACAGATCGGCAACGATCATCTGACAACATCCTTCAGCGTTCTTGAGGAACAGCCTATGGACATGCTGTTGGGCTTGGATATGCTTAAAAGACATCAATGTTGCATAGACTTGAAGAAGAATGTCTTGAAGATCGGAACTACAGGCACTGAAACTCCATTTCTGGCAGAAGGTGCACTTCTTTTTTTTTATAATTAATAAAATTTGTATATACATATATATATATAT